GCATTTTGCCACAGAAACCATATTTCATGTTTAGGACTATGCTGATGGTGGTACATATAGTACATTTTGCCACAGAAACCGCATTTCATGTTTAGGACTATGCTGATGGTGGTACATATAGTACATTTTGCCACAGAAACCGTATTTCATGTTTAGGACTATGCTGACGGTGGTACATATAGTACATTTTGCTACAAAAACCATATTCCATGTTTGGGACCAAGTATTGATGGTGGTACATATAGTACATTTTGCCACAGAAACCATATTTCATGTTTAGGACTATGCTGACGGTGGTACATATAGTACATTTTGCTACAAAAACCATATTCCATGTTTGTGACCAAGTATTGATGGTGGTACATATAGTGCATTTTGCTACAAAAACCATATTCCATGTTTAGGACTACATAACTCTTATTATTATGACATCATAACAATTTAATTCACTATCAAGGCAACCAAGCTCAGTCAAATACAAATCACCTGAACAGTCTGGATTGATGAATGTGAAACCCGCAAATCACCTGAACAGTGTGGATTGATGAATGTGAAACCCGTCAATACAAATCACCTGAACAGTCTGGATTGATGAATGTGAAACCCGCAAATCACCTGAACAGTCTGGATTTATGAATGTGAAACCCGTCAATACAAATCACCTGAACAGTCTGGATTGATGAATGTGAAACCCGCCAATATAACACCAACTAAAAAATACAGTGATCTGCATAATGCATATGTACATTTTGTTTAACCCTTTTCTGCTCAAGTCAATGTAAAAGTACATGGAGCTGGCAGGATATAGGTTAAAAATGTGTGCTAGGCTAGAATGGTGTGATGCTTTGATAAATCATAAACTGTAAGACTATTTCTCTGAAAACTGATTGTGTACCATATTTGTTCTTATTTGCAGGTTATGCACAACTGCAGATCAGACAGTGCAGCACTCTATTGCCAATTTGGTGTCACTCTACGTAATGTTTTCGACACCGAGGTATGAAATATAATATTGAGTTATTTTGTTTTTACCTTTTAAATGTGGTGTTGACATGTTCTTTTTATTGGTTTCTGTGGTAAAAGTATTTTTTTTATATCTCAAAATTTTGCTCTGTGTATATTGATATGGATCCTAATGTTGTTAAAGATTTAGTCATTTTTCAGTGTGAATATATTTACAGTACATTACTCTCCCACAATGTATTGCACATATACTGAGTAGATACAAAATATGGATTGGGTCAAAATCCTTTAACATTTATAGAGTAGTGTATCCTACATTGTTTTCCATAATCATTGAAGCATTGAAATAATAATTTCTTCAGTTCAGGCAGTAAATGTCATTAATATTCACAACAAATCACTCATAATTGTTATCTGCACATTTTAAATGTCCTTACTTAATCTGTTTTATGCACTAATGAAATATTTTATGGTTACACCAGTTCATACCTTGTAATCGTGATTAATGCTAAGTTATTCAATATATCTAATAAATTACAGTGTGCATATACTGTTATATTGGAACAGCATAACATCAATAAGAGACAAAACAATCCTGGTATCAATCTTATATGCGAGCTGTTTGGAGGACACTTCAATCAGGTAAATAGACACGTGTTTCTACTCATCAGTTCATTTTCCTCCCTAAATCAATTTTCTCTATTATACTTAATACGTAAATGCCATGCGGAAATATCAGAATTTTTTTTTCTAACTTTTTTGTGGCAGTTTTATGTTGTCTCTAGCAACTTGTTTTTTTATGTACAATTTTCGAGGGCTGACATAAAGTCACTGTGCAAGACTCGACCACACTGTATTTAGAGAAACCTGGGAGCAGAGCAAACAATAAAACAATTGTTATTATTTTGATGAAAGGTAAATGAAGACATTAAGTGGAAGATGGTGCATGATAACTATTATTGGAGTTATCGACCAATGAGCAAACAAATGATTGAGTATGCCGCTGCTGATGTCTTTGCTTTACTTCCTCAAGTGTACCACAACATGAGACGGTAAGTATCATCCTCAATCGGTTATGAAAACATTGAAGTGCATTACAGGAAGTGTCATCCCCAATTGGTTACAAAAACACTAAATATTGGAGTGTGGTTGGTATGGAAACTGTGCATGACTGGAAAAGTTTACATATTGATAAAAAGCCCTGACTGAAAAGCTGAACCAACCATAATGGTTAAGCCAAGAATTACATATAGCTTAACTCATTGCACACCTAGAGTTTTGTCTCTTGCCACAGAATTACATATAGCTTAACTCATTGCACACCTAGAGTTTTGTCTCTTGCCACAGAATTACATATAGCTTAACTCATTGAACACCTAGAGTTTTGTCTCTTGCCACAGAATTACATATAGCTTAACTCATTGCACACCTAGAGTTTTGTCTCTTGCCACAGATTCTCTCATTCGTATCGTATATCATATCATCTGGAGTTTTATAACCATGGTTTATTGCAGTCATTACATTATTATTAAAAAGATTTATTTATTTATTTTTCCATAATTTCATTTATAAGTATGTTTTTTTCTGTCTACAGAGAATTGGACCCACGCTGGGAATCTATGTTTATGCATCTCTGTCAAGAAAATATAGACTGTCATCTCAAGAAAGAAGGACTTGTGTAATGTTTTGCACTAAATCTAGCGTGTACTAAGACATTGTATACACATATGTAATAGAAAAAATCACTTACTTATAAGATACATGTATGCAACTATGATATCCATGTTTGAATTCCATACATGTATCAAACCTTTTTGTTAGCATTACATAAAACAAGGGACATTTTTATTGTGAAAAAAAAGTTCTCAGTAATACACTATGAACATTTTTTTTATGTATCACATCAGTTGCATAGCTTATATTATAAATCTTTGATAGATCAAAGTGTGTGAAAAATAAAATAACCGAGCACAGCTTACTTATTATCTGCCATCACTAACTTTTCAATTTCTTTGACCTCTTCAAAACCAGACATGGTGGTTGTCTGTGTTACATTGCATGAGAATATCTGTTAGCAAGATCTTTTGCTCAAAAAAGATGTATTTTTCATCTTCCGAAAATTTCAAGTCTGATTTTTGTCATTACATTTGTACAGTGCTACATTTTTAGTCCCCTTTTCAGGCTGCGTTTCTTTATTTCTGGTTTCCGTCTGTGACGTTTCCTTTACATCTCTAACATTTTCTCTAACAAATTCTGCAGCAGATATCGATGAAACTTGGCAGGTTGATGAACAAGTCTCTGTTGAATATGCATAATATCCTAAGTGGGTATTTTTCATGATTTTCATCCAAAATTACTATTCCCAACAACACTGAGAGAACAACTGAGCATGCTCAGAATAAATAATTAGCTTAGATTGTAATTCTACGGTTTTCAGTGACGTCATGACCTTGATCTGAATCAGTTACAGAAATGAACCACAGTCTGGTTTTTGTTTTTTTATGAAATATTAACACTGAAATCTTGAAAAAAGTGGTCAGAAATGTTGTTGTATATTATATCTTTAAACTGTAAAAATTGCATTCCATTATAAAGAGCCATCACTGAAATACCGGGTCACAAAGTTGAAGATCAGTGAAAACACAGGCAGTTGTCAGGGCTAGTGGATAAATGGGCCGTACCATTACAAATCTCAGTGGAAACTGTAGTGGGGTGTCAGGGCTACATTTTGATGGGAATTATAGTGGTAATACTGAAACAAACCCAGGTCCTGGTAATATACATGTACAAAGACCAGAATTAACAAAGAAGTCAAGTTGTTATTAAAGGTACATCAAGGTTTACTCAGATTTATGAATGCAGTTTCTTGAGCATGTATGAGACATAGTTTGGTTGAACTTGTGTACTCTAAGATTTTGGACCTGGGTCAATGAAAGTTTTCAGTTATCAGATTAAGGGAAATCACTTTATGACGAGTACATAAAGTACAACTGTTTGCAGATGTTCCATGTATTATTTTAACAAGAGTATTTTATAATTAAATTACTGGGACTGTGACATTCATTATTTTTCCAATCAGAAAACTATTTGTAATTTTAGTTTTCAATGTGTAGGCTTATAACATTATATTGTTTTTTATATACCCAACGAAGTTGACTGTGAGTCAACATATTAGAACTGAGAATTTATTATCAATAAATTGTGGTTACTATTTACTAGTAATGTGCTCTTCCATTGGATGCCCTGTTGTCTTTTCACTATGCTTTACTCACTAACATTCTCTTTCGACTTTACTTGCTTATTCAAGATTGAATCCCTACTTGCTCTGTATGCTGGATAAAATTGATTCATAAATTCTCAAGCTTCTGCTGACAAATATGTGATGCAAAGTTAAACAACTACCTTTCTGAGCCCTGAGAAGTCAACTGAGGTAGACGTATGGAAACATATACATGCGAGAAGAATAGTCCAATATAACACTGGGCAAGTCTATCTTGTGTGTGTAAAATGTTATGGATGTTTTGTCAAATTAATTACCACTGTAGTCACATTCTCAGAATATTAATAATATCTTTTGCCTCATTGTATGATTTTTTTAGTTTTCTTTTTCATCGCTGGTACATGACTCGTTCAATTTGTTGGTAAAGATGCATATCTTTATATCAGAACTTCATTATCCTATGCATTCCTTCCATAAATGACTGGTAGTATGGTTCTGTGGGAGAAATAAAACATGCAAATATACTTGTAAATAAATGACAGAGGTGTCTATTTTCAAATTAATTAATATTTTAATGATCTTGAAAACAATAAATGAAGTTCATCTGCTTCTAATAAAGCTGTTATTTGTTATCCAGTCCAGAAAATAACTTGTGATTCAAATTTAGTTTGTGAAGGAAAACAAGCTGGTCTTCAGATTTGTGTGTAAAAGGGAAGACTCAATTTGTGACTATTATATATGACATGTTGAATTCTTTTGATCAAGTACAGACGTTCTACCTGAGTCTGGATGTATTAGTCCTTTTCTTATTATAAAGTTCAAAGTCACTAAAGCAGAGTTAGGCTTGAAATCACCACTTACCAACTTCTCTTTAACCTAAAAAGAGACCATTTTCTTGTTATATAATTGTTTATAATCACTGGAGGCAGTACGTACATTGTAGCATAAAAGGAGGATTTCTGCTAAAGTGACGAGATGCCTTTGCTGAGGTCATGAGTTTTAATCATGTGTGTTCATACGTTTGTAATGTGTCGGTAATTTATTTTATTTTTTCAAATACCCCAGTAATATGAAATAGTTCTGTCAAGTACATAAATTAGCACAGCTTTACTGTATTGGTAGTATATTCAAATATTCCTTAAACTCCCCAGGATTGCGCATCAATGTAGATCTATCAATCTATTAAAGGTTCATGTTCCAATGGTTTTAATTTGTATGTGTTATTTCAAACAAAATGACTGACACTAACAAGCAGAAATAGCTGAAAATATTATCCATTACCCATATTAGATGATGAGTTGTCATGGTTACTTCAGTTAAATGGCCATCAATACCTCTGATTCAACATATCACTCTAGCTTGATCTAAAATCAATTTTTATGAGTTTTGTGAATGTGTATAGCGTTGATGTCATTTGACAAGATGTATTTCCTGTGAAATCTTTTTAACGTTTTGTTTTATTGAATACTCACTTCTTGTATGGTGTAAAAATAGAAATTACTGACTTCTCCATCACCAACTTGGGGTTGAAATTCCAACGGCAATTGTAAATCATAAACAAATTCAACTTCAGGACTGATACCTCTTTCATTTACAAAACAATAACTGAGGGACAATGAAATTGATATTATTAATCAAAAAGTAGTGAATGAAACCCCAGAGCTAGACTTATGCAGAGTACTTCATCACACGTCTGGTATAGAGACTACAGAGCCAGTTGCATGTAGGAAACCACATCACCAGTCTGGTACAGAAACCACAGAGCCAGTTTAATACATTTAAGGTAGAGATGCAGATTCGTGGGCACTTGGGAGTGAATTTCTTTTTTTTTGCTTTTCATTATTCAAACAGTCTTGGCTATAGACTGTTAAAATTTTGTAGAATTGTGAATAGTGGAACATTCTCAAAAAAACATTTTAAAATATAGATGACAGGTGCAAACATTCTCTTTTTTGAATGCTTAGCAAGATTTAGCAAGGCTGTAGAAAGAAAACATGAAACATGAAGAAAAAAAGAAATGACGGGATCTCCATATTACCGGTATGCACTATATTAACTTTTAACAAAATAATAATACATAATAATAATAATACATTTAAATTTGGAACTGTAACAGCCATTTTAATTATGAGCATTAGCAAACTTCTTACTGAGTGAATTGTTATGCAAATTAGCAATGATCTCAGTTTCTTTTCGTGCACATCCCAGAACTTTAAAATAAATAGCTCCTAGTCGCTTTGACCTTTCGTTTTGAAATTTTCACAAATGATTGACAATGTATTTATCTTCAAAACGCCGTCGGGGCATTGTTTTTGGTTGAGCAGTGTTACAACAATCGTACAGACAACTAGCCTGGATGTTAATATATGCATAAACTTGATGTAGTGAAATTTGGGCTGCTGCCCTGCAAAATTGACAACTGGTAGACAGTTTTCAAGACGGCACTTTCTTCATAGTAAACAGATGTACCCATAAACCAATTTTGACAGGAAACTGAAGCATGGTTTAGGAGCTAATTTTTTTTAAATCACTTTTGACCAAAAAAGCACATTTTTTTGCATATTTCAAACTACAATGACCAAAAAAAAAAAAAAAAAAACTAACAAAATTTTAAAATTCATACAATAAGCTTTCCGAAAATGTAGTTTTGTGGACAAGGGAGGTCATCTTGGTTTCCTAATTAACTAATTAAAATATCTGTCAGGTAAACTGCATCTCTACCTTAAGGAGCCCCAACGTAGTCTGGTACAGAAGACCATAAAATCAGTTGAAACCACAGTTAGTCCCATTCAGGATAGCACAAAGGCTGTCAGCAGTGAGAAACCACAGAATTAATCCCAAGTAAGGTATCACAGAGCTAGTCCTATACAAGATGCTATATAGTATGGTACAGAGAACCACAAAGCCAGTCACCTGTGAGAAACCACAGAGCCAGTCATCGGTGAATAAACAGAGCCAGTCTTGTACAGACTCATTCACCACTGGAAAACCACAGAGCCAGCTGGTACAAAGAACCACAGATCGTGTATGGTACAGACTCATTCAGCACTGAAAAACCACAGTGCCAGTCTGGTACCGAGGTCCACAGAACCAGTCATCAATGAGACCCCACCAGTTCAGTCCAGCACAGAGGACCACAGAGCTATTTCATTCAAAATATACTCCCATTCATACATTTAATTCATCGCAATAACAATCTTGATCAGTGGTGTGTATTACCTGATAGTGCCTGCTGGAATAGCTTTCTTTGCAATACTCTCTGGTATACATGCCTCTTCCAAGCATTCATTCAACATACAATCTTTTATTTTAACACCAGCTGGGAGACCC